GGGGGTGGTGCGAAGGGGGCTGTTCCCCAGCCTGTACGGGTGCCCGGGTGCTGTTGGATGCTCTCAACCCCGACTCCACCTACTCTGAGTGCAGAGTCAGGCCCCAACAAGGGCTGCAGCCCCTCAGTATGTGCTTGGATTAGGGACCACCTCGTACCTGGCTCCGCTGGCTCCAAGTGAATTCCTCTCTTTAGGCTCCTCCACATGTCCCGAGGCTTTTCCTGTGCTCAGGACATTCCTGCCCAGCCACCCCAGCCCAGGGCTAATGTGAACAGGAGCTGGGTGAAACCAGAGATGGGCTCCAGGGGTGAAAATATGCACTATTTACTCTTGTGCTAATGCGAGCAAGAAAAGAGGACTTAGCCTTTTTAATCACTTTTCAGGCTGCTGCTGCAGCCCTTGGTTGGCAGCATCGGGAGCAGGATGGTGAAGGTCAACAGTCCCCGGGGCCAACCCTGTTTCCCACGGTCCCTGCACCAGGATCCAGCAGGATCCACAGGCAAGATCAGGAATACACTTGCCTTCCCCCTCAATGCTCAAAGGAAGAAGCTCGATCTGATCCCACAGGCTGCTCCTGTCTCACACCCTCAGGAGAGGCAACCAAACAGAAGCAGAGGGATGGGAAGCACCAAGCAATTTGGCAAAAGTGCTGGCTGCCCGTCCTGCCCTCCACTGGCACCAGCCCCAGACACAAATGCAGTCACTTGTAATGACCACCAGCCAAACGGGGCCAGGCAGGAAAAATCTGCAGCAGGGAAACAACAGAAGAAGCAACAGGGACCAGAGAGGACACCAAAGAAAAGAGCAAATCAACCACAGCACCATCCCAGGGCCTGGGCTCCTTTCCATGACTGGGGGACAGGGCAGGTCGGTGGGTACACGGGGCATATTTTTTTTTCCCCTCCATAAATCCACATTTCTGTTGGAAGCCTGCAGCTTTAATGGGGGTTTTGAGCAGTCTCTACAGGGCATCCCTGGCCCTGAGCAGCAGCCTGCCCTGCATCCCCACAGGATGGCACACGTCCTTCCTAAGGGAGCCGAAAGGGAAACATTTCTGTGCACTCCCCTGCAGCAGCAGCCGCCCCGGCTCGGTTCGATCAGCGCTATTTTTCTCCCGTGACGTGACTCGAGAGCTCAGTGGGCAGGTGCCCTGTCTGCACGAGCACATTTATCATCAGGGTGGCACGAGGGCCGCTGCCCCGTGAGCCACAGTTTCCCCTTTGGGCGGGGACAGCCCAGCCGGGGCAGCTCCCGGCCGGGGCGCTGAGGGGCCAGACCCGGCACCCCCGGCCAGACCC